CCCGGTGACTTGCGCCAGGCTCTCGTTTTGCTGCTGCTCGGCCTCCGAGGGTGAGCGAGCAGCTCCAGCCCGGGCGGTTTCCAGCTGAGCCTGTCCTCCCGCAGGAGCACCACAAACCCTTCTTTCTGCAGTGCAGTTTCCAGGGATTAACCACAAAAGGTTTTTGTACAAAGGGCCCCCGGGCTCCTCTTTCAGTCAGCCTCAAGAGCCTCACGTTTTTTGCCAAAAAAGGAAATGACCCAGCTGCATGTAGTGCTGGAACATCTGGATTTTATCCCTGTCATGAATGGGTCGTGGCTATGCACGGCCCAGTGCCTGATTTACGGGAGGGGGAGGGTGATGTCATGCACAAACGTCCCCTGAGACTCCCAGAGTGCAGGTCTAAAACAGTCATGAAAATATTACTAAGCACAGGCGAACGGGGGGGGCGCTTCCCCGCGCTGCCCGCCGGTGCCTCAGTCCAGCAGGGTCTCAGCACGGGGTCCAGGGCTGCCTTTGCAGCCCTGATGGGCAGAGCCAGCTCTAAGCCGCTGCCTGCCTCAGCCCTAGAGAAGTGCCCCAAGAGGGAGGCTTGCTCAGGGCCGGAGCAAGACCAGGGCCCTGCCGTGGGCTGGCTGGTGCAGCCATGGGCAGTGGGCAGGGATGCGGATGGGTGTCAGGATGCCTGGACCCAGCGTTGTGTGACGGCCCAGGGCATCCGAAGCGGCTCAGCTCAGCGGTGATGAGGGCAGCTCGCTGCCGGCTGTGCTGGGTGTGTGCCAGCCCTGAGCTTCCTGCCCTGGAGATGGGGGAGCTCCTGGCTCGGGCTCGCTGTGGGCAGCCGCTTCAGTTCCCAGGGCTGTTTTGGACTAGATGACCCACAGAGGTCCCTTCCACCCCTACCATTCTGTTCCCTTTCCAGCCAGAGTTTCCCCTGTGGAAGACCTGAGCCGCTGGTACAGTCTGTGCGTGCCGGTGTCCCAGAGCCGATGGGAGCTGCATGGCTGGGCAGAGCAGGGAGCTCTGCCTGCTCCTGCCTGCAGCTGGGCAGGAGGGCAGGGCTAAAACTTCAGCTCCCAGCTGCCTGCTGGCGTTTGCACCTTTTCCAGCTGTAGCCACGCACAGGTTCAGACAGCGTGTCCGATTGCTGTGCCAGTAATGCTTTGTCTGAGCGCCCCAAACTGAGCACGGACATGCCTTGGCTGCTTCTGCATCCCTCCAGGTGACCGGTCAGGAGGCTGCGACCGTGCTGGGTGAAGCTGGAGGCTCAGGCTTGGCCCCACAACGGTAACAGCAGATCTCCAGGGCAATCGCTGCAGTCCCAGGGCTGGTGGGAGAGCCGGTGTTACAGGGTGAATAGCTCACCCTTGTCTCTAGTGTTAGGAGGTAGGGATGTGGTTACAGCTAGGGTGAACCCTGCAGGCATCCTGTGAATACTCCCCCAGGTCTTTTTTGTTGTCCCTTTGTCCCCACCCTGCCAGAGCAGTGCCTAGTGAAGGCCCGGGGGAGGTGGGGAAGGAGCGGTAGCTCAGCTCGAGTAGGTTTGCTCCCATCATCCTGCCTTTCCTTGCAGGAAAACCGTGCGATGTCCGTCCCTGGCCCGTCCTGCAGCCCCGGGCTCGACGGCTGCTGCTCCGCACACAGCACTGAGCGGCTGCACTGCTGCCTGGGGTCCAAATGGCTCCCACCGGAGCAAACCTTCTCCCGGGCACGCTGCCATCCTTGGGGTGAGTGGGAGGGAGGCCTCACAGGGGCTGGGCTGGTCCTGCCTCCACCCCCAAATGCCAGCAGCCCAAAATAAAGAGGCCATGTGGCTGGATGGGACATTGCTAGGTCTCAACTCCTTCCCTTTCCAGGGATGAGGTTTTGTGCAAAGAGAAATGGAAGAACACTAAGTTCAGAATCTTATCTCTGTTTTTATTTTTAGACAGACATTCATGAGGAAGACATGACATACTTTCGGGCAGTCTGTAGTGCAAGAGAGTAATTAAAGACAATATTCTTACCTTCAGTATCACTCTCTCCTCAGTGAATTGGCTGTTCCCAGGGCAGGATCATGTTTGCCTGCCATAATTAAGCCCATTTTTTTTTGTTGTTGCCTTTGGCTTAATTTATCCTGCATGGTACAAAAAATATTAATAATTTGTGAGTTAAAACATAATTACAGCTTTGCATTTGGCAATGTGGGGGCAAAGCACTGGCATGGTCTCTCCATGGCATTTAGGGTGGATCTGGAGAAGGCAATTAAAGTCCAAGTGAAAGCGGAAGGTGGCAGCCACGGTTTCTGTGGGAGGACTTCCACCAGGACTGCATCGCTCAAGCACCGTCGTGTTGCTGAAAGCCTGTCAGGCGACAAAATTCTGCCCTTCCCAGGTACAAAGTGCAACAGCTCTGACCCACGAGAGGCAGCGTGAGGGCTGATACCAGATCTGACATGTTTCTTTCTTTCAGGCCAGTTCCAGTTTGGACTCT